CTCCCGCAGGAGCCAGACAGAGATCGCAATGGCGGCACAGCCCCAGGAAGTCGCGCTTTAAAATGACATAGCATTTTTTCTGATACTGTTGCCGAATCAGGAAATCTCTCTACAGCATGCCACCAACAAACAGCAAAAATCTGTGTTAAACTCTCTCTCCCTTATTTTTAAGTCTTCTCAGGTTTTTTAAGTGGGTTTAGTCCATAACGTGGGGCGCCAACTGTAGTAATAAGGGTGGCAGGGCTGCGTCCCCAGCACCCTGGCTGCCTGCTCGGCTAGCTTATGCCCCGAAGTAACAACACACAAACTGTATTCATTTAAACACTGCTTGGCCCATTCTCTTTTAGGCTAATTCTCACATATTAATTTAGCCCATTTCTAATCATCTGTGTGTAGCACCCCAAGGTGCGCTTACCGGGGAGATTCTAGCCTAGTCCATCCTGGGTTGGAGCTTCATAGCGTGCGTCTGCCCAGGAGCCAGGAGCATGGCGTCTCTCTCAGGCGTCTGCTCCAGAGAGCAGAGCTGTTGAGACTCTGCTCACTTCCTCTTCCTCCCAGTATCCTGTTATGTTTACTCCTCCCACCTATCCTCTAACCAATAAAATGGGCCAAGGCAGTTCCTTTATTAGCCAATGACCTTCCTCCATCAAAATTGGATTCACAGTTTTTATTTTAAAAAGAAAGGGAGCAATGCTCTTGTACCCTGTAAAGATTTGTCACTTATATTGGCTTAATAAAACACTGATTGGCCAGTAGCCAGGCAGGAAGCACAGTTGGGGCGACCAGAATAGGAGAGTTCTGGGAAGAGGATAGGCTTAGTCTGCTGTTGTTACCCAGACACAGAGAAAGCAAGATGAGAATACATCACTAATAAAAGGTATTAAGCCATGTGGCTAACACAGACAAGAATTATGAGTTAATATAAGATATAAGAGTTAATAAGCCCGAGTTAATAGACCAACCAGTTTATAATTAATATAGACTTCTGTGTGTCTCTTTAGGACTGAACTGTGGGACTGGGTGGGAGAGAAACCTCTGCCAACAACTTTCCCTCAAGTTACAAATTCATTATGTTTTTTTTCCTAGTTTGGGTCTTTTGGCAGTTGTACTCTTTTGAGCATTCTTGCAAATGCCACTTACATATGTATGTGTATTTCTGTAATCTATATAGTTAGTGATATAACATATATGTTTTAAAAGCATCTTGACTTCAAAATTTGGGTCTAAAAATTTGTTTAAAAAAAGAGGTTCTTCTTTTGTTTCCACAAAAGATGAGAGCCTGTGGATTCCTTCCAGACTAATGTGGTTTGATGCCCAAGACCCCCCGAAAGGTCACCATGAACACCCCAAAAATTACTTTGCCCAACAAAAAGCAAAAAGCAGTTTGGATAAAACTACACCTAAATTCCCAAATATTGTTTATAAATGTTTGTTACATTTAAAGGGAGATATGCTATAGAGATTTGCATTGGTATGGATCTTAGTTTATTGATACAGATTTAAGGTTAGTTTTGTTATATGTATATTTCTGCTCTTGATTAAGGTATTGTGTTTATGTAGCTCATTTAAAAATGTATAATTAAGAAATATAGGTTTCTAGATATCTCTATAATAGTCAAGCTTGTAGTCAGTTAGGTTTTTTAGAGATAGAGATATATTTCAGTTAGATAGATATCTTTCAGATCATTCAGAAACCTTCAGAATATGGCATTTAAAATGTTTTAAAAACTGAGGGTTTTTTATGACAGACTCATCTCCTGGCAGCACCAATCTACTTCAAGAGGATGATGGGCACTGAAGAAGCTCCTTATGGAGTTCGTTGGTCATTTGGGCAAGAAATTGCTCTTGACTGAATTGTTTGATACTATACTGTGGGAGCTGGACATGCAGAACCCATGGAGAGATGATTGCTGAACTTGCCTAAAGGTGAGATGGTCTTTTGAGGTTCCTGCTTCATGAAAGTGTCTGCCAGACATTATGCAGGACATAGAAAAAAAGTGACTCACAAACTGCCAATATAGGTGAAACTGTTTTAGAATTTCCTGCTTCATAAAAAAGTCTGCCAGATACTATGGGCCTGTAGGCTGAAGATGGATGCCCCAATGGTACAGAAGAACTTTGAGTGACTGTCCAAGCAGCAAAATGTCTCTGTCATTTCTAAAGTTTTGAAAGTTGCTTACAATGTTTACTTAGGTATTATTATATCCTTCTGGAGACTTTGATGGAGTTGAAGAACAGATAGTTATAGTTTTCCTTAGTTATGATAAAAGATAAAATAGATATAAATATTGTAACTTTAATTCTTGCTTGATACCTGTTTTTGTTATATGTTAAAGGTAAAACCTTCCTTTTCATTTAGATAGGAAAGGGGAAATGGTGTGGGAAGTCCTTCTGCATATGTGTTGCTTTCATTGGTTAATAAAGAAGCTGCTTTAGGCCAATGGCTTAACGGAATATAGCCAGGCTGGAAGATATATATATATAGATAGATAGATAGAGAGAGAGAGAGAGTAGGTGGAGTCAGGGAGAAACCATGTAGCCACCACACCAGGGACAGATGCCTTTTCTGGAGCCTGCCGACCTGGTAGGCCACGACCTTATGCTGGTGCACAGACTAATGAAAATAGCTTAGTTTAGGATATAAGAGCAAGTTAGAAATACGCTTTGGCTTATTGGCCAAACAATATTTCAAATAACATAGTTTCTGTGTGATTATTTTGAGTTTGGGCAGTCAGGAAACCAACAAGCGGTCTCCCCATCAACAGAGAGTGTCAACAAAAGGACAGCAATATGACAAAAACCCATTAACATGAGATGAAAGAGAAAAAGGTAACCTGGAAAAGGAAATGTGAAGATTTTCAAACTGAGAAGAAAAAAAAAACCCTATCTTATTCTGCTTTGTTGTTTTCCTGAATGGGAGGAGCTTTTCTAGAGAATGTGATCATATTAAGGAAAATGAATCCTGCTCCCAAAGCTTCTGCAGGAAGCAACTGGAGGCCAGTCCTTTGCACAGGGTGACCTGCAGCTCCTAAGCACCAGGAGTAAGAGCAGAATTTGTAGAACAGAGAGCAAAGCAGAAAGAGACTGGGGAGCTGCATGGCCAGCTAATGCTGATCAATGAACCTTAGAACATTGATTTCTACCACCCAGCCACACAGTTCCTGCTGTAGCAGCTGAGCGCAGGCTTATCACAAATATTAGGTCATTTTAAAATATGTGGAATAAAAATAAGAAAACTTTCCTCTACCTCATGCCCTCAGCTGTACAGCCACACACAGCCTGTACCACACACATTGGTCAGTGAGTTTTCTCTCACCAACACATCTTTTCACAGTTTTGTTTGTTTTATTCTTCTTCTTTTTCCTCCTCCTCCTCCTCTTCCTCCTCCTCCTCTTCCTCCTCCCCCCTCCTCCTCCCCTCCTCCTCCTCTTCCTCCTCCTCCTCTTCCTCCTCCCCCCTCCTCCTCCCCTCCTCCTCCTCTTCCTCCTCCTCCTCTTCCTCCTCCCCCCTCCTCCTCCCCTCCTCCTCCTCTTTCTCCTTCTCCTCCTTCTCCTTCTCCTTCTCCTTCTTCTTCTTCTTCTTCTTCTTCTTCTTCTTCTTCTTCTTCTTTTCTTCGATAGGTAGGGTCTTGCAATGATTCCCAGGTTGACCTGGGATTAAGGGAGCCTCCTGCTTCAGCCTGGGACTATATGCCACACTGAACCTGTCAAGAACACGTCCTTCTAAGGTCTACATAATATTCCTTATTCTGATGAACTGTTATATTAATCAAGTAAAGGTCATTTGTTTGCTCTCAGTTCTTGCCCAATAGCAAATATTTTTAGAGAGATTTGTTGAAGGGAGATCAAGAGACAAAATAGGCATGGTGACATGGTGGCATGCTGATCTGGCAAGGTGCTCCAAGAAGTGTTCTGTGCACCTGGCCAGCATGGGGGAAGGAACATGTGTGCTTTCACACCTCAAATCCGATATTAAAGTCTCTAGTCCAATTACCCAATGGGGAAACTTCCTGAGTGCCCCATTTCTTATTAACAATGAGTCCAACACCTGTTGGCACATGCATGGCCAAATGTTCTCTTAGAGATAAATTACTTTTATTACAGGCTTATCTTCTCTCCTGGGTTCCTTTGTCTTGCCAATGTGTAGAACTGGGCAGGAGTCTATGGTTTGCTGTCTATGTTGTATAACTTTTGGCGTGTATCTTTATTTTCATTTCTTAAATAGGGTTTGTGACCTATCACTGTAGCCCTGGTTTGGGATGGAAGGTACATTTGAGAGAGAAGGCAGCCCAGATGAAAACAGATAAAGCAATGCACACAGGAATTCTGTCCTCCATATCTGTCTGGAGGTCAAGGTGGTGAGGCCACAGGTTCATCCCTTGCTTAGGTGTGATTTTGGATACTGACTAACTTATCAGAGGCTCAGTTTCTTCTCTAGAAAGGGGGAAATAATGAGAACCACGTCATAGACAATTATTCTGTGGGACTAGAGAAAGGCTCAAGGCTTAAGAACATTGACTGCTCTTCTAAAGGTCCTGAGTTCAATTCCCAGTAACTACATGGAGGCTCACAACCACTGTAATGAAATCTGATGCCCTCTTCTGACCTACAGACATACATGCAGGCAAAACACAGTATACATAATAAATCTTTAAAAAAAGGAAGAAAATTATTCTGTGGAACCAACTTCCTCACGCTGCTTTGCACTTAGTGTTTAGGCAGTAGACACGGTGTGACTCCTGTGAGATCATCATCTCCATTGCTGACTGGAGAAACGGGTGGCTCCGAGAGCCCGTGAAGACATGATGATGTCAGTTTAACACACTATCTATTTCTCATAATGCATCAGCCGTTGCCTTCAAGACCTCCCCTGAGTTTGGAATCTGGAATGTTCTGGAGAGCAGCAGGACTTCCGGTCCGTGGTATGCAAATGAGGACACTGGGGCTGGGTGAGTGTCAGCACAAAGTCCTGAGGCCATGGGCAGTGAGCTCCCGGACAGGCCGAAGAGCATTCCCCTCAACATGGCTGCTGGGAAAAAGGAGCTTTTGATGTTGGAAAACTTCATAGGTGGAAAGTTTTTACCCTGTAACTCATATATAGATTCTTATGATCCATCCACAGGGGAAGTATATTGCAAAGTACCAAACAGCGGGAAAGAAGAGGTGAGTGCCTTTGCTTAGAAAATGGAAATGCATTTACTGTGTTGACAAACTATGGAATCGTGTGGGGGGGGTGAAGAAAAATATAGAATTTCATAAGGTCATTTATCTTGTGACTGGACAGGTATGAGGCAGAGCGGCTCTCGGCTTACTATGAACAGAAGAAAGTTATTGCCAACTTAACAGTTGTGGGCACAGTTGGTTTTAATTTTTGTAGTTCTCAGACAGGCTATGAGAGGTGTCTAGTGCAATGCATTGTTCTTAAGAACTATTGCCATATTAAATGCATCCTTTTCCACAAAGTGTCTGCTAGCTCCATGGATTTATAAAAATACGTTTTAAAAACTTCAGTTGAGAACAACACAAAAAGCCCAGTACTTTATTTTCAACCACCATCTAATAATTCCTCGGATCTCCACAAATACCCAGTGAGGCAAAACCAGCCATTTGAGTAACGGAGCTGAAAATTAGATTCTTGTGTTTTCACCATACTTAACAATTAAAAAAAAATAGTTAATGGCTTATATTCTGTTCTTGTCTTTTCCTTTGCATTTTCCTTTCTTTTTTAGTTATGAGGAATTAAGATTGCTAGGGGAATTTGGTAAAATATCTGATTCATTTGATTAATTAACTTATTGCACAGAAAACAAAAAGTACCTACCATGGTAAGTGTGGCTGATATGTGTGTAGTTATCAACTGAATACTGTTTTATTATTTTTTGGCACAGAGAACTAGATTATAATATCATTTCAGTCTTCCTATACTCAAAGCCTGTTTTCTTCAAAAATTCAGCTCTTTTCTTAATTGTTAAACTTTAAATCGATCTTCTAGAGAAAAAAATATCACGTTAGACTTCTGTACTAAAGTTTACAAATATTGGATATCTTGTTAGTTAAATTGTAACCGGCAATTTTGTTTGCTTCCAATGACAGCAAGCAACCGCTCTTCTGCTCTTCCCAGTCCCAAGGTCCAAAGTGATGCTAAAAGTAACAAATCTAACAAAGGCAGGTGGAGTGTGGTAACTGCTGGCACTTCTTCAGGAAGTAGAATAAAACAGATCTTTGCACTTCCTACTACATATAGAAGTTCAGTTTGCAAATATTGTGTGTTCCATAAATGCTGTGATTTTGATGACTTTACAAGATACTTGCAAAATTGTGTGTGTGTGTGTGTGTGTGTTCATGTGCGTGAGAAAGAGCAGTGAGATAGTAACACTTACAGATGCATTTCACACTTTAGCCACAAGAGGGCCGATCTGTTTTCATGTATTTATCCTTTGGAGCTCCCTACTCTTCGCCTTTCCAACAGAGGCTTCTCTTCCGTGGGCTGGGCAAAGCCACCTGTTCTGTCTGCCACAGAAAGGGTTCTCAGCCCATGTGTGTCAAACACAGGGGTCTCATATCAGATATCTTGCCTATCAGATATTTACATTACGATTCATAAGAATAGCAGAATTACAGTTATGAAGTAGCAACAAAATACATTTATGCAGCATTAGGAAAGTTGAGAACCACAGTACTATAGGGTGTCAGTTAACAGTCTTGGGGCCCACACAGATTGGGTCTGTATTCCCACACTGCCTGTGACTTCCGGCAAGTCACATATGATCTTTTTGTGCTTCAGCCTTCTTACTACAGAATAGCACACAATACTCTAGGTGTGAAGCTTTAAGAAGCGTTAAGTACTTTGTGATTTTGGTTAGAGTTCCTCAGATATGCAAGTTAGCCAGTGAGTGACTGAGTTAGTCACTCCACGTGCCTGTAACAGCCCTAGGATGCAATCACATCGAGAACGTGAGACTGGACAAACGGTTAGTGCTGAATTAAGAGCTTTAGAGATTCGACACATCGCGGCAGATTTCCTTTTCCACACTAGATCCCAAACCGTGCATTCTTTGGAAAATGAATGAAAATTTTCATCTTTTAAAATGAAAACCACGTCTTCCAAGTTGCTTGATGGCCGACTTTTAGATACCTTGGTAGAGGTGGCGCATGTTCCCCTCCCCACCCCCAGCTCTTGTCTTTGCGTTTACCTCTGAACTGGAAGCCCGAGCATCTGACCTGCCTTCGAACAGCATGCTGTGGGAGACAATGGCTATGCTCAGTCCCTTTGCGAGGCAGCCTTAACCTCTCCTAGATCGCCATTCTGCCTGGCTGGCTTAGGCCTCGGGGCTGTTATTGCTTTATCTGTGAAATGAAAGGCTGCCCTGGTGAAGGTAGCCGGTCGTATTTTTGTCCCTCAGCTCAGCTCTGTGGATTCCTCGGGGACGGGGACGTTGCTGGGAGCAGCAGCTTGCTCCTTTTAATGCAGAGAAGTGTGCGTTAAAAACATGGGTGTGCCCCAGCAGACCACCATTCACCTACACAGAGAGCTGGTGGCCGCAGTTTGGGGCTGCTAAGACTATCACTGCTGTAAACACGCCTGCATATGTTTTCTTTGCATGAGGATAAGTATTGGTTTCTCTGGGATGAATGCCCAGGAGGGTGTTCCTGGCTAAGAGTTAAGGCCCTGTCATGTTCTGCACAGGTGCCAGTCTTTTTCATCCCCGACAGCAGTGGATGACAGGGCTCTTTTATTTATTTGTTTGTTTGTTTGTTTATTTATTTATATTTTAATTTTTGTGGCATCCTCCCCAGCACTTGGTATTGCCACTGTTTTATTGTTCCTGCCCCCTTTTTTTCTTGGTTCTGTGGGGTCAAACTGAGGGCATTGGGCATGCTAGGAAAATGCTGTACCACTGAGCTGCACTCTTAGCCCAGAATCTTTTTTTTTTAAAAGATTTTTTATTTTTTTATTATGTATAGTGTTCTGCATGCATGTATGCCTTAGGACCAGAAGAGGGCACCAGATCTCATTACAGATGGTTGTGAGCCACCATGTGGTTGCTGGGAATTGAACTCAGGACCTCTGGAAGAGCAGCCAGTGAGTGCTCTTAACCACTGAGCCATCTCTCCAGCCCCCCAGAATCTTTTGATTGTTGAAACTGACTTCATGCGCATTTCCCTATGGCGTATTTCCAAGTCCTTATTTATCTTGGGCATGCATCTTCTGTCCATTTTGCTCACATCTTTGTCCCTTGCCTAATTAACTTGCTAGTGTCTTTGCTGTTGACTGTTGTAGCTTCTTTATGTGGGGCATACCAGAAGCATTTGCCAGTTCTGTGATAAGCAGGTATTTGCCGTAGGTCCTCAGGCTGCCCTTTGAAACTGCTGACTAGTCCTGTCTCTTCACCATGAAAGGTGCCAGCAGCCCAGACACTCCTGAGATCCTCCATTCCATCCCTTGGTGCCACTTGGGCTGCCTTATTCACAGAAGCTGGGGGCATCCTTGGGCTTATCTTTGGGCTTCTAGAAATTCATGCTTGAGTCTGGTCCAGTCCCTGTGCCACGGCATGTGAGTTGGCCTGAGAACAAATCCCTAAGGGGACCAGCAGATGGGAGAGGCTTTGGCATATGGTGTCACATGGTCAGCGGATCACTGTGAACCCATGGTGGCAACTCAGATGGTTGGATTTGCCTGAGGGCAGCGGAAGGCAGAGAGCAAATGGCCCTTCCTTTGTCGTTATGCTGCTTGTTGGTTACATAAACACCTGTGCCGTCTATTTTGTGGGTAGTTTAACATGAGGACATGTTGAGTACCCAAACTTGGGCAGAATGACCACCAGGGATGAAGGGAGTCAAGGATTCCGGATGCTGCTAGCCCCTCAGGAGCGGCGGTGCTAAAGTGACCATCTCTGGTTTGCTCCTCAAAGATCGAAGCTGCCGTGGAGGCTGCCAGAGAGGCCTTCCCTGCCTGGTCGTCCCGGAGCCCCCAGGAACGCTCTCTGGTCCTGAACCGACTGGCTGATTTAGTGGAGCAGTCACTGGAGGAGTTAGCCCAGGCTGAATCTAAAGACCAAGGTGAGGGGGGCTCCCTGGCAGGATCTGTCTGCCTTCCAAAGCTCTTTTACCAACAGAGACTTAAGCTCAAGTACATGTGTGTCTTAATAAGTGCTTACGAAAACTGCAGTCCATGGGCTGCTAACATCCCCATTCTACTTTGTCAGGTCATCTCTTGCCTTTTGGTAGACGGTTTACACTCAAGGGCAAGTTAGTCATATCACCCTGTCTGAGGCACCAAGCTGATCTACATACTTGCTTATCAAGACAAAAGTAGAGATGGAGGCAAAAACATGCAGGATGCAGAAGGCCAAGTTTTGTGGCTCTGCCCCATTGAAACGAGACAGTGGCTGGACCCAAAGCTAAGTGATGGGGAAATGCATCCTGCCAATTTAGTTAAAGGAGCTGCAAGGATCCACAGCAGAGTATGGCTATAGGGAGACAGGAGGAACAGGGGTGGTCATGCCGTCTCCCTGTTCTGTTCAGAGCATCCCAGAGTGAAGACAATTTGGAGACCGGCTAATTTTCTCGTCTCTTGTCACCATTCTACTCCCGTGTTTTCCCTGCTTCCCAAAGGACATGGGGATAGGGTGAATATGTAGAATCTATAATGTCTTTTAGTCATGCGGTGTTAAAATATACCTGCTATAAGCCAACCTAAAGTTAGGAGGCAGCAGACAGGCACTCAGAAAGAGCAGGTTTCTTCCACGTTAAGGTGGTGGTGCCCACCTGTGATGGCAGCATGTGGGGGGCTGAGGCTGAGGCAGGAGGATTGGGAGTTCCTGACCATGTGGGCTACACACACACACACACACACACACACACACACACACACACTCTTTTGCTTCTGTTCTGGGGGCCACTGAAGGGCATCTGGGAAAAGTTTAAATAGACTCGCTCCTGCCCCATCCAGAAACCAGAATCCTGGGCTGAGGGTCTCACTAGCTCTTCCGATGACTCCTCTGTGTGTGTGGAGGATGTTTAAGATACCTCCCACATTCATACGTGATGTACACTTTGAGCTGTTTTAACCCCGACTATTTCAACCACGTCGTTTCGAAGCTGCTGGCACACCAGAGCCAGTGTGTGTGAAATGGCGTCGCCTGGTAGCTTCGCGATGAAAGCGAGAAGGTGTTCGCGGGACAAAGATGCTCTGGCTCTATTTTAGGTCCTTCCGCACCTCACTCTATAACCTCACACCTAAATATCTCATAGCTTGAGCCAACCAGAGTCAACTCTGTGAGGTAAAGAGGAGCCTCCCATGGGCTGGAAATGAGCAGGGGACAGATGGCGAGCTGCAGAGGCCAGCGCTAACTCCGTGGGAAACACAGGCAGTGTTTTATGGTGTCCATTTCCTACAGGGAAAACTCTCACCCTGGCAAGGACCATGGACATCCCTCGGTCTGCTCAGAACTTCCGGTTCTTTGCCTCCTCTATCCTGCACCACATGACGGAGTGCACACAGATGGACCACCTGAGCTGTATGCACTACACTGTCCGCACCCCTGTGGGAATCGGTAGGTAACGTTCTAGGAAAACCTGTGTCAGAATGCTCAGAAAATTCTGGACAAGCGCTTACTAGGGACAGAATATGGAAACTCGAGGGGTTGATTTTTCTCTTTTTTGCTGAAAATTCGTTGACTTTAAAAATGATTTCTAGTTCATCCTTATTGTATCAAATTCTCTGCCTTTTCTAGAAACGTTGTCTTGGAGGGTCACAGGGAATGAGCGCTTTGTTTCTTATGATTAAAATAAGAAAACACCAAATCCAGACAGTGCCAAGCATGGACTGCAGGACTGCATCTTCTTCACGCTTCAGGATTCTGAAAAGCTGGGACAATAGTTCACTTTTCTCTTTATAGGATTCAATAATGTGAGAAATTTGGGTCAATGAATAAATGTGTAGTTCAGCTGCATGTATGAATTGGTGCGTTCCCAGCGCTTGGACAGGGGAGGCAGGAGGATAAGAAGAACAAGGTTTTTCTTGGCTACACAGTGAGTTTGGGGTTAGCCTGGACTGCACAAGTCCCTGTCTTCAAAAACAAAGAAGCAGTAAATAAATGAGTGTATGCTCCTTCAAGTAATGCCAGTTTTCTGGTAAAGAAGAGGTAACCTTTTTGCCCCTTGCCCCTTGACTAACGTGTGTCTGGAATGACTGAGTGTAATCGGTAGATGTCGCTGTTTCCCTGAGAAGAAACACCATGCTTTACCCGCTACAAACAGCAGGACAAAAAAAAAAAAAAAAAAAAAAAAAAAAAAAAAAAGAAAGCAAGTGGAAGCATTTCACTATCTCGATTCCCTGAACCCTCTAGAAAACATTTTCCAAGAAGTTGTAGGAAGTTTTAGTCTCCTACTAAGAAATATATGAAAATATTTTGTTGCAAACACATTCTGTAACTCTTAAAGAACAGATTTTTCTATGAGAAATTTAGTAGTATAAAATATACTTACTTACATAGGACAAAATATAAAATAAAGTGATTTTTTTTTTTTTTTTTGAGACAGGGTTTCTCTGTGTATCCCTGCCTGTCCTGGAACTTATCTGTAGATCAGGCTGGCCTGTCCTGGAACTCACTCTGTAGACCAGGCTGGCCTTGTGCTCTCAGCGTGTTTCATTCATAAGAGAGAGCTTATATGCGTGCAGGCTGTGACAGAAAATGGAAAGTTTAAGAATAGCGCATAGAGATACATCCCGTCACACCCAACCTGTGAATGGGACCTAATGCACAATTATTTAAAATATCCTGGGAGTTTTGGGGCCGTTTTTAAAGTTAACTGATTACATGTTCTTTAGAGTAAACTCGGCAGATGACAACATTTTGTCACAAAGTCCAGAGACTGGATGTCCCTTCTGAAAGTGCGGGGTGTTGCTACTCAGCAAACCACCGTGGTCAGAGTACAGTTGAGCATGTAGACAGAATTTGATTTTAAGACCTGCTGCTGCCAGGCTGGATTTCGCAGCTTATGCGTCAGAGTCCATCAGCGTAACTGCTCCCTAGAGGAACACTCAAAATCACCTTGTGCCTGCTGCACTCACAGTTCAGCAAGGCCTGGCCTTGAGTGTCTCAGTGACAGCAGGTTAGAGACAGAGGAGGGGAAGCCGTCAGGAACCAGCGACCTCGCTGCCTCATACTGCACTGCTCCCAGGCTTTCTTTAAAAAGGAAAGGTCAGCCGGGACTGTGGTGTGTGCGCCTTTAATCCCCTCTGCCCGGGGAGGCAGAGGCAGGCGGATCTCTGTGAGTTCAAGGCCAACCTGGTCTACAAAGTGAGTTCCAGGATAGCCAGGACTATTACACAGAGAAATTCTGTCTTGAAAAACCAAAAATAAAATAAAATAAAAATAAAAAGTAAAGCTCAATCTACAGACTTCAATATGCACTCTCTTCAGACAGTATTAACAAGTCATCAATAGCCTTTAGCCCCGGAGCTTCTGTTGCCCTGGTTCCTAATTATAGTCGTGGCTCATTATGGTACATGTATTGACTTTGCTATTGTAAGGAGCGAATTACTTGTAAGGGTTTTAGAATAGCCTTCCTGAAGCTGGCAACCAATAAGTGACATTTGGGTTTCTGGGCAGCAGGGAATTCTGTTAGAAACACCACCTAGCTGGTCTGAGGCATGGCCCTGCTTCTGCTCTTGTCCCTTAGCTGGTTTAATCAGCCCTTGGAATTTGCCACTGTACCTGCTGACCTGGAAGATAGCTCCGGCCATCGCTGCTGGGAATACCGTAATAGCCAAACCTAGTGAGCTGACTTCTGTGACCGCGTGGATGTTGTGTAAATTCTTGGATAAAGCAGGTACCAGGGTGTGGTGGGGGCAGGGAGGAAGCACGGAGCTAGGGCAAAACTGACAGAAGCCACCTTCACTCAGTGCCGACTCCAAAGATGTCTTTTCATTTTGTAACCCTGATACTTTCTGGTCATGTCTTAATCCACAGCAGAGTTCTCTTCTACGGTCCCTTCCTTCCCTCTTTAACTCTAGCACGATGTCACTCACGAATAGCGTCACCCCATGGGGTGAAGGCTGTGTAGTAAATATTACAGGCTTAGGGAGTCCTGATAACATCAAAGACACCAACCAGTTCGAGTTATTATCATCAACAGTCACTTTAGATTTAAGTCTGAGCTACCAGTCAGTCTTGAAAGTTGAGTATTACTAGATTTGTGTTAGTTACAATGACTACTAGATTCAGCCATTTCCAAGAGATTTAATATACACCCCCCAGCTTCTCCATATTTGGGGCAGAAGTGGATAGGCCGTAACACCCACTAGTTTGCTCCTTGTTTTCTTTCAGCTAATGGTTTAATGTCCTCACTTAGGCTCCCTTCCTGGTTTTATTCGGGATATAATTCTGCATAGAGAAGCCTGACATTGTCCTGACACTTAAATCTCAGCAAGTGGCCTTTGAAAAGGTCTCTTTCTGTTAGAATCATTATCTTGTGAACCCTTACAGCCAGGAAGGTAATGGTGACTAGGTGGTCAGAAAAAAATTTATCACCCTCTGTCTGGGCCAACATGTTATGTGCTTACTGCCTTTTGGCACAGAGAAGCCACAGTAGGGCTCTCCTGACTCCTTAGGATGGGCAGCAAGTAGAAGCCTGTTTCTCCCTTTCTTTTTCCTTCCTTCTCAACCTCTCTTCCTCCCTCCTTCCCTCCCTCCCTCCTTCCCTCCCTCCCTCCCTCCTTCCCTCCCTCCCTCTTTCCCTCCCTCTGTCCCCATTCCCTCCTTCTGGATGCTTCAGAAGAAGAAGCTTGCACATAACTTCCAGTGGAGTTTAGCTAACTCTTTGGGATTTTAATGATAGGCTAAACCTGGCCTTGTTTGGAGACTAGCACCGGTCCTTTTTGGGAGGAATGAGGCCTCCCAACCAGTCTTCGAGATGACCTATATAGATGCCCCAGGCCCCTAGAAGATGGAGACCATGCCCACCCTCCCATTTCCCAGATGCACCGGTTCTTCGTTATAAGCAGGCCACCTTCTAATTCCATTCTTTGCAAAGCCAAGTCTTTGCTGTGCACATGGGCGTCAGTCGTTTCTTGCCAGCTTGGTGACTGCAGGTCCTTAGAGTACAGCAGGAGAGGGGCTGAGCCTCTTCGTCAAGCCTTAGCCCTTGCAAGGCTAGTAGTTCTTGTGTGTTCATGGGTTCCTGACCAATCTGCCGGCCACTCACCCCAGTCTTTATTTCGCAATTTCTGTTTGTCAACTAAACTGTTTTACTTTTCTGGCAACCAGAATCTCTTCAGAGTTTAGAGGGCAGTTATCTGTACAAGAATTTTATTACCGTCTGGTTCAGACGGCAGATAACACTGAGAAACCTCACAAGCTGCTGCCTCTTAACCCGTTACTCTCGGACTGCAGGCAAACCGAGAAGGCTGACGTGTGTGGAAATCGGTCAGCCTGCAGAATGAGCTCATTGTCCCATGGTGAGAGATACACGGCATGCCTGTGTTTTCTTTCAGCCTCTGTATAAATATCATAGCAAGCATCAGGCACGGTTTATTAACAGCCCCCCTTATACCGCTTCTCTCCCATCTACCCAAAGAGATGCCGTATATTGGAGCTGCAGGGCCTCATCCATGGATGGTGGGAAAACTTGTCCTTGTTTTTCTTCTACCAGCGGCTCTCCTTCTAGACTTTTCTTTGCTCTTCTACGTGGTACACAGCGCTCCTCTAGCTGTGACGTATAAACCAAGGTTGGCCTAAACTAGACTGGATAAATGTATATACTGTAGAGCGGCAGAGGGCGCTCGACGTCTGTCCTTTTACACACGTGTGCATCCGCGTGAATACACATTCAGGCTCCTGCATAGCCTTTCACCCCTGCAAAGAACTTAATCCCCAAAAGAGGTAAACGTATACATGTAAATTTAGGTCTCAAGGGTCTTGCTGTAGAAACAATCGAGGCACCTCTTTTTGGATGTTCTTGGTATTTGTTGCTTGGTTTTGGGGTGGCGGTGATGCTGTACAGAACCATGGGCGCAGAACCTCAAGTCAAAAATTACCCCGTCTGGGACAAGGACCCCTCCTGCTTCTCTGGGCCGAGACAGTTGATGTCTTCACGTCTCTGCAGGTCTACACAGCTGTTTACTGAACACTGTTACTCTGCTTTGCAACTTCTAGGTATCAAGTTGGAGCGAGTGCCCGCAGCACACGATGATGATCAGATTGCTTGACAGGACCTGCAAGTCAGCCCCTGGAGCTTAGTCAGTTTTATAGAACGAGTTTCTCAGAAAGTCCTTTAGCCTGCATCTTTCCAGGCCAGAGAACCCAGAGACATGCCAGCAGGCGGATTCTATGAGCAGAGATGACTCTGTAGCATTGGCTTTGCTATTATACTTGAGCCAGTATAAAATCTCCAGGGGCTATCAAACCCACAACCCCCACCCTCCCAGCTTTGGGACTCCCAAAGGAGAACCTCTGTGTCTCTTCAGCTGTCCTCCATAAACCCAGGAGAATCACTACCGCTGATTTTATTTCCCATCCAGGTGTTCCACCGGGTGTGATCAATATTGTGTTTGGAACAGGGCCCAGGGTTGGTGAGGCCCTGGTGTCCCACCCAGAAGTCCCCTTGATTTCCTTCACTGGGAGCCAGCCCACAGCTGAGCGCATTACCCAGCTCAGTGCCCCCCACTGCAAGAAGCTCTCCCTGGAGCTGGGAGGCAAGAATCCTGCCATCATCTTTGAGGATGCCAATCTGGAGGAGTGTATCCCAGCAACCGTGAGGTCCAGCTTTGCTAACCAGGTATGAGTCCTGGTCACACAGGCCCTGTCAGGTGGGATCTATTTCGACACAATGCTAAGTCTAGGGAGTTTGGTGATGGTCCTGCTATTTCATCTTCAAGTAGGATCCGTTATAATGTTATCTTAATACCCAGGAGTGGCCTGGTACAGTCACGGCTTCTTTTTGTCAAGTTCCTCACATTGAGTCACACAACTTTTATCAAGTACCAGTCATGGGTAGAATGGCGGATTCTGCAACTCTAAGCATCTCCATTTCTTTATTTACTGAGTCACCTTTCTCCTCTTTGCACCCAATTTTCTTCTCTCCCCATAGTATCCCTGGTGCCTTTACACCCCGAGTTCCTGTTTCCTGTAACATTCCAAAGCAAGTTTCACCTCAGGCCATCTTTGCCACTTCTATTATGATTACATCACAGATATTTCTGTGGGCTCCATCATTTCCGTCAGGTTCTTCAAAGTCACAGCCTCCCAGAGGAGTAAGAACCCTAGTCCAGAGTCACTGGGCAACAGCTCTTCCCACAGATGGGAACGATGTCTCCATTTCTTTACCTTTATGGCACTTTGAATGATGCTACCTTCCAAAGGACTACTGGGAATGCTTAATGACTTTCAATTAATGTTTTCATAATAATGGTAATGACAGTTATTTCCTTTACCATAATTTCCAAAGAAGATAGCTAGAAATGTAGTGTTTGGGTATGGGTAGACAATTCAATGTTCTAACAAAAATGATTTAATCATTAAAATTAGCAAATGTCCAGTAAACACTTAAACTGGTGATCATGCACTTCAAGACATCGAGGGAGGCACACACTCTGAGAACTGAGATGAGGGGAAGTGGGCTGACAGGTTGTGTAAGGTAGCCACGTGCTAAGCAAGGGGACACAGACTGAGGCTACTCATCTACCAGGGTCCTTTGCTCAGCCCACCAAACCTCTCTTTAGGGGAGAGGGGTATGTTAAGGTATCAATGAGGAAAAAGATACGGCCAAGCCAAGGCAACAGATGGATTTTTAAGCAAACTATAATAGCTTGCTTATTTGCTTTAGCTGATTGACGAGTTCCAAGCGGAGCCTATTTTCCCCTTAATTGAAGATAATTGGCTTCAGGGAAGGGAGGGGTAAACTCTCGGCGTGACCTTGGGTATATATTAATTCAAAACTCTGTTTCCTGACTGTGAACTGAGAATACTAACACACTGCAGAACTTTTATGGAGAGAGTAGTCAAATCGGTGCTTGGCATGGTGTAGAGATTCAGTGAATGAGCTCTTTCTTTGCTCATTCCCTTTGAAGTCGTCCTTTCTGCAATCTCAGTGTGAACTCTGTCTTCCTAGCATGAAACGATGGGAAACTTAGTAAAACTCTCAAGTCTCTCCACCTTCTGCATAAGGAACTTATGCAAATGAACCCAACAGGTGTCTGGTCATCTTCCAAGTCACTTAGGCAGATGGGATAGTGGTGCTATTGGGAAAAGAATGTATTATTTCAGAACATTAACTGCTTAATTTGGACAATAAACCTTTGTGCAAATACCAAGATAATTAGATGCATTCTGTTCCCTAGGATTGTTGTAAACACCAAATATAAATGTGATAAAAATGTTATTAATATTTGTGCATTCATATACTTTAATAATTCTTCTTTGAAATGTTTAGATGTGGTTTATAAACTATTTCATATTTAAATGACAGTTAGGATTGTTTTTCTCTCCAAAGTGTACCAGGACCTATCCCTGAACACTCAGCATCTCTCTTTAGGTATCTAGTGGGCATCGGAACTTAACAAGCCCACGGAACAACTCTTGCTCTTCCTCTCTCCCCACCCACTAGAAAATGACTCTTCTCTTTGCCTCTTGTTTGTCCTTTCATGGAAAGGCATACTGTCCAAAGTGATGCAAAGCCCAAAGCTTGGAACAGCCTTTTCTTGCTCTCTTCCTTGTACCTACGTCTGATCTATAAATGGATATGTTGGCTCTATGTTTAACACATATTCTCAAACATTACTGTTCTAGTGTATCCATGTGGGTCTTCTACACGTTAGGGGTCCCCCACCAATTAAGAATCCAGAATTCGGTGGAAACATACGCTTTTGCTTCCTTTCCACTGATACCTGCCCAGTAGAAGCTACCTACATTGATTTCAGCCGTTGGAATATTCCCCTCACTCCTCACTCTAGCTTCCTTCTGTTTTAGTTTTGCACACAATGTTGTGAGTGATCATCTAGAAATGTAACTCTCAGGGTCAGGGAAGGTAGCTCAATTGGTAAAGCACTTGCCATGCAAGTGTGAGAGCCTGAATTAACCCCCCTAGAACCCACTTAAGAAAACCAACCACACACTGTAGTGTAGTAATAGGAGCGGCGGGGCTGCGTCCCCGGCACCCGGCCGCCCCCACGGCTAGCTTTACCCGAAATAATTACACGGAAACTGTATTCTTTTAAACACCGCTTGACCCATTTCTATCTAGCCTCTTCTAGGCTAGCTCTCGCACCTGGACTAGCCCATTTCTAATAATCTGCTGTAGCCCACGAGCTGGCTTACCAGGAATGATCTTAACCTGCATCTGCCTGGAGTGGGAGAATCATGGCGACTCTCTGACTCAGCTTCTTTCTCCCAGCCTTCCATTCTGTTTACTCCACCCACCTAAGGGTGGACCTATCAAATGGGCCTAGCAGTTTCTTTATTGCTTAACCAATAAAATCAACAGATTGATATATAACACTCCCCCATCACTGTAGTCCTAGGATTGAGGAGATGAAGATGGGTGGGTCCTTTGGCTCAGGGGTCACTCAGCCTGGCCTACTCAGAGAGCTCTAGGTCACTGAAATGACCCTGTTCTAAAAAAAAAAAATACCTAATCAAGCAACCACAAGAAGAAAACACAAGGCAAACTGCTCCTGGGTAATGACACCTGAGGTGGTTCTCCGGCTTCCACATGAACACACACAATGCACAGCCCCCCCCCCAATGCATGCATACATGCTCACTCATACTCACACTATGTATGTGATGTGGGAGTCCTTCTGTATATGTGTTGCTTTTATTGGTTAATGAAAAAAGCTGCTTTGGCCTATGGCAGGGCAAAATATAGCCAGGCTGGAATATATATATATATATATATATATATATATATATATATATATAGAGAGAGAGAGAGAGAGAGAGAGAAAGTAAGGAGACAGATGCCAGATCCTTATCAGTAAGCCACAACCTCATGCCTATACACAGATTAATAGAAACACGTTAATTTAAGATGTAAGAGTTAGTTAATAAGAAGCCTGGGCTAAAAGGCCAAGCAGTATTGTAATTAATATAGTTTCTCTGTGTTTATTTGTGTTTGGGCAGCTGGGAATGAATGATCAGTCTCTGCCTACAAATGGCGCCCAATGTGAGCCAGTATCTTAAAGGTTATTGGGTGAAGGAGTTCCCACAGCACATATGCACTGCATATACACATGCGCACACATACACATATAAACATATGCATACATATACAACACATACGTAGCACAAATACACATGCACACACACAAAAGCACACACATGCATTCACTTATCATACACATACCCACACATACGTACTATCATATACCCACAGACACAATATAAATCTGATCACATTACTCTGTGGTTTCCTTTCCGTGATGCAGAGAGTGAAGCAAAGTCCTTCTGAGACTTCGAGAGTGCCAACCTGCTCCCCTCTTTATCCTACAGTCTTCCCTTCACTCCCACCCTCAGCCCACTCATCTTCTTGTCACCCACACCAGCTTCAGCCCCACAGCGGCTTCCCCACTCAAACCACTGGAACCTCTCTCCTCCCAGTCTTTACTGATACAACTTCTTCATATCAACCAAGAGTCCCTTCAAGTATCTCCTCTGTAAGGGCTGCTTGCCGGTTCCTTCACCAAAATCCTTAATTTTATCATTTGCCTAGCGATCCTCTATTGTTCTGATAAGTCTCTGAAGTCGTATCATGTAGTGGATGTTTATTTCTGCTGTTTCTGTCTTCCTGTGAGATTATGTGTTCCGTGTGGTAGGGACTAGTCCTGCTGACAGCTGGATCTCGTTGCCTGGACCAGTGCCTGATACACGGCAGATAATCAAAAACACGGGGCATCTATTCATGAAGAAGAATGTCCCCATCTTTATCATTGTCTTCACTCTTGGCAGGGGGAGATCTGTCTGTGTACCAGCAGGATCTTCGTCCAGAGGAGCATCTATAGTGAATTTCTGAAGAGGTTTGTAGAAGCTACCAGAAAGTGGAAAGTTGGGATGCCCTCTGACCCGTCAGCCAATATGGGTGCTTTGATAAGTAAAGCACATTTGGAGAAAGTAAGTGATCTCTGTCATGTGTGTTCCAGAAAGTTCTTATTTAGAGAGACACTGAGAGGCTGGGGATGGTGGCGCACACCTTTAATCCAGCACTTGAAAGGCAAAGGCAGGTGGATCTCTGAATTTCAGTCCAGCCTTGTGTACATAGTAGGTTCCAGGACAGCCAGGGCTACATAGTGAAACCCTGTCTTAAAAAAAAAAAAACAAGATAGTGAAGGGGAGGGAGGAAGAAAGACAGAGAAAGACAGACAGACAGAGAGAGTGTTTGTGTGTGTGTGTGAGAGAGTTGCATAGGGAACTTATGCAAATGAATCCAACAGGTTATTTGACGATCTTCTAAGCCACATAGGCAGAGGAGAAACTCAGGGGCTGGAGAAGTGGCTCAATGGGATTTGGATTCTAGCACCCACATTGGGAAGTTTTAAATGTCTGTAACTCCAGCTCCAAGGTATCCAACTCCCTGTTCTGGTATACATGGTCATGTGCACACACATTCACACACACATGTAAATATAATAAATCAAGTCTTAAAGAAAAACTTGGTTTAAGCAGAGGACATATCAGTCTTTGAAATATTACTTTTGAGAAATTATCAGCTATGGAAAATTGTTTCTCGTGGACCAAGAGTAGAAGGGAACCTTTCAGACACTTACTTGAGCCTCTCTTCCCCATCCCTAGAGCAAATTATTCCCTCTGAATGAGACCTTTTCAGCCCATCCTATATAAAACTACACTCCCTAGAATGTCCCCTAACTCTCCAATCCTTTATTTTTCCCATGTTTCTTTTTTAGGTCTGTTTTATGTGTATGAGTGTTTTGCCTGCATGTATGTCTGTGTACCATGTGTATGCCTCACCTGAGAAGGTCAGAAGAGGTCATTGGCTATTTAGGGATGGTTGTGAGCCATCATGTGGGTGCTGGGAACTGAACCCAGGCCCTTGTCAAGATCTTCAAGTGCTCTTAACTACTGAGCCACCTCTCCAGCTGGCTCCACAATTCTTAAGACTGCCAAAACATAACCTGTACTTCTTCCCTTAGTGTCTGTCTTCCCTTAAGCAGAAAGTGGTCAAGTTCATTCACTGCTGTGTCCTGAGACTAGAAAATCTCAAGAATCACAGCGATGCACAGTATTCATTGGAAGAGGGATTGTAACAATGTGTTCTGGGTTCCAGAACTATATGCCACAAACTCAAGGTACCAATTTTCCTTGAAAATTCTCCTTTTCATGCTTGGCTTAAAGTACTTGGATCTAGACCCATGAGTTATGGACATCTCTCTTGCTGGGATGACTCAGTGTGGACTCCAAATGGAAAATAAACTCAATTACCCGGCCTCCGTTCAAGAAAGTATTCATGTCATTATCTCTGAGTCACTGGGCTCACTTATGAAATAATTTATTTTACATTATAATCAGCTATACTGTATTGCCTATATTTGTTTTTAGAGTATAATCAGCACTAAGACTAGAAACATTTTTTTTCCCTGGGATCTCAGATACCGAAGGCTTCTGGGCCTTTAAATCTCACATATCATTTGTTTTCCAATTCCTCTGAAACACTTTGATTATGTCTTTGAGAAATGCACACATTGTATTCTGATGATATTCACTCGTCCCCCAATTCCACCTAGTTTCACCCCTCACCCACCCAAATCTGTGTCTTCCGTTTTTCCCCCATCAAGTCCAGAGGGCTGCCTTTGTCCGCTCGGGGGTGTGGCCATCCCCTCGAGTGCTGTCAATCTACCAGGGACTACACCTTTAAGAAAGCTAACTCTCCCTGTCCCAGCAGCCATCAGTTACTATAGCTACTCAGCTGGGGGTGGGTCTTAGTGCTCACTTCCTCCCTCCATGCTGGAATGTTGATTGGCTAGAGCTAGGGCTGGCCTTGTGTGTGACCTCACGCGAGCCATTGCCCTGCTTTGTCCAGAAAGCACTGTTTCCTTGTAGTCAGCTTCTGGCTCTGGCTCCTCCCGTCTTTCTGTCTCCCCCCCCCCCCCCCCTGCAAAGATCCCTAAGGAGGTGGTGTGGTATGGATGGTCCATGTAGTCTCTGCCCTACGACCAGCTGTGGACCTGTGTGTTTGTTACCATCTACTGAAAGAAAAAGCTTTTCTGATGAGGATTGAGAGATGTATTGATCTATGCTTAACAATAAACCATTAAGAGTCAGTTTAATACCATGTTATGTCTCTTTAACAAAATAATAATAGTAGATTTTCCCTGGGGCCAACGGCCTCTCTAGCCACAGGTTCTTGGAACTGATACTAGTACCAGATAAGGGATTCCTTTTTGTAAGCAGATCTCAAATCCAACCAGAAGATGGTTGGTTACTCCTATGCTATGTATGCTAATATCACACCAGTGAACGTATCTGTGTGGGTATTGTTATTGTAGCCTACAGGGTTTACAGATGGGCAAGAGAGATGATTATTTTTCTCCTCTTGAAGTGTGTGCCGCACTTTCCATGGCTATGAAAGCTAGCCAGTAGGGATGAAGCTTTCACATCAAAAATAGCTTCATTTTCCCACGTTTTATGACTCAAGTATGTGATGTCTTCAGTAAGACGGTAACCAAAAGTAAAGGCAATCATCCATAATATTTGGGGGTTTATGAGACCTCACTGACCAGTAACTTCAATAGAAGTAATTCATTGTGGCATTGGACACTTTACTTGTTAGCCTGTGGTGTCTAGTAAGAGCATTGTCAACCCCGTTATAGGAAATTTCTAACTTCTTAAAATGAACACACCTCTATCCCCTGCAAACACACACACCCACCTACCCATCCAAACACACACACACACATACACACAGAGTTCTGTACCTAGCTACAGGGTATGTCTGAGTATGGGTTAAGCTTATTGTTTATTGTTTACTAGCTGCATGAATCCAATATACTTCCTGAGGCACAAATTGGAGATAAAAATAGCTGATAGAATATAGAAAAAATTAAGTGACAATACATAATATTACTTATATTAGTGCCTGATATTTAGGCATGAGATAATCTCCCTGCCATTTGCATGAGGGCTAAATATTCAAGTTTGGGGGAACTCCTCTGCCTTTAGGCTTTGCACCCGAGAGATGACATAACCCTAGCTCCCTAAGCACTGACCTTGGATTGCTTTTCGATCGCTAGAGAATACTGATTTTTCTGCTGACGTGTGTAAAACACCAAATGTCAAGAGGCTTGTAATTATGGTTTTCTTTATATCCTCAGGTCAAAAGCTACGTGATGAAAGCTCGTGCCGAAGGGGCCCAGATTCTGTGTGGTGAGGGTGTGGACCAGCTGAGTCTTCCCCCCAGGAACCAGGCAGGCTACTTCATGCTGCCCACGGTGATAACAGATGTTAAGGATGAGTCCTGCTGCATGAAGGAAGAGATCTTTGGTCCAGTGACGTGTGTGGTCCCTTTTGACAGCGAAGAGGAGGTGGTTAAAAGAGCCAACAGCGTTAAGTATGGGCTGGCAGCTACAGTGTGGTCAAGCAATGTGGGGCGCATCCACCGGGTGGCTAAGAAGCTCCAGTCAGGTTTGGTCTGGACCAACTGCTGGCTCATCAGGGAGTTGAACCTGCCCTTCGGCGGGATGAAGAGCTCTGGAATCGGAAGAGAAGGAGCCAAAGACTCATTCGACTTCTTCACTGAAATAAAAACCATCACCATTAAGCACTGACTCCCCCCTGTGGAGAAGCAGCTGCGGCCAATGCCGGACAACAGAAGCTCATTCATGGAATGCAGTAGACAGAAATCCTAGCATGTGTTCAGCCATGCCTTCATGTGCCAGGAGACTAGCTTTTACTGACCTTCACTAGCTGGTATTTTTACCGGCTTGTGAATAAAAAAATGCAGTTTTTAATGTGGAGTGAGAACAAGGTTTCTAAAGAGGAGACGCAGCAAAGCCAACCAGCTTGCAGTCTCCCTGGTCCTCATGTCATGGCTGCATAGATGCCATCGTTTGACTGGATTCAGAGATTTTCGTTTACAAATAAATGGCAAAACAAAAACAAAGGCCTACAAAGCTGGAGACCAGGAAGTTGGCTTGCTGTCCAAGCACGAACAACTGAGTTCAGACCCCCAACATCGGTGTAAAAGCCTGACATGCTGCCATATAACACCCGCCACATCCATGTGCGCACGCACACACACACACACATATACACACAACAACCACCACCGTCAACAACAACACCCGCAGCAAACCTGAAGAGGTCAGCCCCAACCCCCATCATTTTTTACCCCGATGAAGCTGTGGAGATGGTCGCCTTAACCCCCAGCCACTGGCAAACTGACTGAAGCTTGGCTGACCCCATTAACATCAGGAAGGGATGGTTGTGAGGAGCTTGTAAGTGTCATGTGTGACAGGTCTTACTAAACATGTATAGTAGGAACAGAGGAAAGCAAAGTAGAGGTTGCTTTTTAGAGAAAACTAGGAGCACAAAACCTAGTCTGATCCGTTTCCACTGTCAAGCCCAGTCAACTCAAAGGAGCAATAAATTGTTCATCAGTTTGACATATGCCTGGAGGTGTCCATTACTTGTCTTATCCTCGTTCCCTTAGAAGTATAGCTTCTCCTACTAGTAAAAGGCGGTCTAACGCCCGACTCACACATCCTCTGAACACAACACTGAGGTTGACAGAAGTTCAGGAGCAGCCTCAGGGTTACACAGAAGGCAAGGGGCACAGGAGGGATTTGAACCTCAACCTTTGAAGCTCAGGACTTCTGACCCCTTCGCTCATGCTAGCTGTGCTCCAGAAGCAGGGAAGCACTTGTGGTTCTGGTAGACGTTCTCCTTTCCAGCTCTCTCTCCTTGCTGGCTCTCTCATTGGCTCCATTTCTCCTGAGTGAGAGGCCCCGTACAGCAGCTGTGCAACCCAGATGCCTCCTCCAGTTCTCCCCTCACCTCACTCACTGGGACTCTTAGCTGCCTGATTCCACAGCTGCCTGGACTCCTGAAGGTCTCAGCTCAGTTCCTTCCTTCTGAACTCTGAATTTATTGCATAATGCCTGGCACACAGAAGGGATTCAATGGGCTTGTGGAAGGGAATGAGATCTTTCCGCTGCTCTGGTTGCATAGTGTGAGGCAGGGTTTTGCCGTGGTGGTAGTATTATTACGCTTCATGAGTTTTCCTAGGACTTCAGGTATATTTTTTTCATGTACAAATACTGTGAAATTTCAAGTGACCTTTTAATGAGCAAGTGATGACATTGGGCTATATTGGTTTCTAGCTTTCACTTCCTCTCTTTTCTCTTTCCTTTGTTGATTTCCTTCCTTCCTTCCTTCCTTCCCTCCCTGCCTCTTTCTTTCTTTCTTTCTTTCTTCCTTCCTTTCTTTCTTTTTTCTTTCTTTCCTAGCTGAAATCCATAACCTACATTAGCTTAGCCCATGACGAATTCTGAGTATCAGCAGAAGAGATTTCAGTAGCTCCAGTCATTAGGAATCTCTGTCTTCAGGCTAGATATTGATCAGCTGGAGTTGGGAGGGAAGAGCGGATGCTGATTGAGGTTCCTGGCTATGTACCTTTCCCTGTCTTATTGACTACAAATGTGTTGTGCATGGCAAACTCCGAGGAGTCAAGAACTGGATATTTACTGTGTATTATTTAAAGCTATATGTTCAACTAGTAAGCCTCTTAAAAATAATAATGCAACCTAAAAAATTGGAAGGTGAAAAGCAGATGTGGAAGAGTAGGAAAAGGGTGTCAGGTTAGAGCTCGTTCATTGTAGCAAGCTATACTTGTTATTTGAAGTTGATAAAGCCAGAAATACAGGGGCAAACATTGGTTAGTTCAATGGTATTGAAGACCTAAAAGCAGAGCTACTTAAGAATGATTCTTTTAGTTTACTGACACATACCTATCTACAATCCTAGCCCTTGGGAAGTTGGGGCAGGAGGATTGCTATGAGTTCCAGACTAGTGAGAAAATATCTCAAAAAAGATTGTTTTTCCTCCTGGGGATAAAGAACAGAATGTTGGAAAGGAATCATCAGCTTCAGGGATAGACCATCTTACTTCAATTTGTGAACGATGTGTCCTCTTTGATTTTTCTGGCTCTTTATTTTAATGCGCTGTTGCTAGCCTGCTTTAGAAAGTGATACATATATTTCCACACTCCTACCTGATGCTTTTCCAGAAAGTGGAGGTTGGGAATCGTGTGCTATGTTGTTGTAGAATATACCAGGCCTCGAATTCCTAACTAAGCTGCTTTTAGGAGGCTGTGATAGCCTAACGTCTTGGAAGCCAGCACAGTCTACCAGAAGGAGCCCTTTCCTCCACAGACCCCTTGGAAGTCCGCCTTGGTCATGCTAAAGGAGGCCAGCATTCTGCTGGCTCAGAGTTACCTTCTCTTACGAGAGGACTTGGGAGACAGACCTGGCTACTCCTGCCTGGCCAGAGGTGGCAGGAGGGCGCTTTGAGACTCTAGACCTTTAAAATTAGATCTCCAAACTCTTAGTCTTTCTCACACTGTGCCTGATTCTCTCCTGTGAGTTCTATTATCCTCGCGCTAGGGACCCCTGAAGCTGTCTGTGACTATTTAAGTGGATACATTTACTCCTCAAATGTTCTGTGGGCAAGTCCCTCCATCCAGGTCTCCCAGTGAGGGTTTAGGAGCCTGCCTTAGGATATTTTGCTTGCGGGTACTAAAAGGAGGGTTCTGGAACGGATTCTGGCATTCATCATCTCTCTGGTGAGTGGTCTGGAAAGTTCACGTCATTAGTCCTGGCTGCCAAAGCTGAACTGCACCCGGGCATTGATGACTCACTCCAAAGCCTATGCAATCCATTGCCGTCACTACTCTGTGACTTCTGCCAAACGAATGGTGGGCAGTTCTGGTAAGAACCATATTTCCGATTGCAGCTGACTGTGCATCACATGTTGATAATTTGCCTAATCTTGCCTGTTGTCTGAAGAGGTGCCATCTCCACGAGTTTGATTATGGCTTTCTCCTCCCACACCTTCTCCACAGGCCTCAGTCCAGTCTTACCCGTGGCGATATCATTATACTCCAGTCTCATAATTGCATTTAATTCCAGTGTGACTCAGCAGTCTCCCAGAAGGCTTTGTAAATTACTCACCAGAATATTAAGGACTGTCTATATAAAGTGAATGAATCATAACATATTAGATTACCAGAGACCCTGAGATCACCCTCCCTTCCCCTAGATGGACAATGGAGGCATAAATGAAGTTTCCCTGCTTCCTAAAAATATTAACAGCAAAAAGGGCTCTGTCAGTAGAAATGGATATAAAATGTGCAGGACATCCAGAAATACGCAAGCACCAAGGACCTGGAAGTCTTCCGGGGACAATGAAAAAGTCATTGCTAATTCTGAGGAGTATTTTAGGCTCCTCACCCCCATACTGTTAGCAGCTGGCCTTTGTCTCCACTGAGGGTGAGTTACAGAGGCAAAATTATTCTCAATCAGAGCTTCTGGAATTGAATTTATGTATGAAACAAGAAGTATTTCATTCTAGTGCTTGCAGCTCAGAGGAGTGAGTGGCAGGCAAGAGCCAAATTCTGTTTCCCCAGAGGACTCTAAGGCTGGGTGGTACCTGTGTGGGAGCTTTGGGTCTCTGGGTGGGAAGCAGTCTTGATTTTCTGTAATTGCTGTGGGAGCCTGTGAGCTGTGGGACTCTGCAGCTCTAGCTGCCTGCTGTGTGTGTGGGATCAGGTCCTACATGGGGCACACAGTTCTCAGTATCACATTGTATGTTCGTGTGCGAGATCACAAGGACTGCCACTGAGAAATAAGAACAGAAATTTCTTGAAATTCCAAGCAGGAGATAGCTGATTTTCACACATCATTCTTGAGAGACCAGAGCGTGTAAGAATCACTGAGCTAGGAAAGAGCGCCTTTGTCAGGGTGGTTCCGTCTTTGCAGGATGTTTGGACTGTTTGTCTGATCCTAAAAGCTCAGCAAGTCATATCCTTTGAAAGTCCCTGTTGCGCTTGTTTTTAGGCATTTGGGGGAATGCACTCCTCCACTGAGTGGTGATAAGCATTGAGCAGCAGTGCCAAGGAGCAATTTTAACTCTCTGGGCTCACTGGCTGGGGCTTTGGCTGAGTTAATGGCTTTTGTTCAGGCCAAGTTCTGTCATGGGGTGGAAGTGAGACAGTCTCTACTGACCCCTTGGAAGAAGCGACACTAAAATGCTTCCTGGAGCTGTGACTCCCCGCTGAGACTATTGACCTCCCTCCTGCTCTTGCCCCGCCCTCACCTTCCTCTGTGGTCCTAAATAAAGGGAGAGAGCCCACTCCTGGACTCTTTGCTGACAGGGCACTGCGCCCTTTCCTCAAGATATATTTAGTGTATTCTAATCTAGAGAAAGACCAACTCCCTGACTGGTAAAGTTCGAAATAGTTAGAGAAGAAAACCCCTTCTCTGGAGTTTGTGTAACTGTCAAAGTGATAAGGAACGGAAAGGCTGCTTCAGGTCAGACTTCTCTGAACCTTTGAAGTGTGTTGTGTTTGGATATACTAGAGCATCCCCACGGCATGCTAAAGTGAGTGTGGCCATGTCTGCCTTCAGCTATATTGTTCACTACGAATTGCTGTAAGAAGCAAGGACCTGGATGGATGACCTCAGACACCTAAACGACAGCGTGCAGTGATGATGGGATTGTTCAGCACACTCACACTCTCATCCACCTCCCCTGCGCTGCAGGAAATGCCTACTTTTGTCTTTGCATATACAGCTCGGAAATGACTTTTTGAGTATTAACAGCAACACAAGACTTTTTATGTCCTATTTTAGCTGCTTGGGAGCCAACCATATAGAAAGCATCGTTTCCTTGCCATGTTTTAAAAGCTCTTAAGGTGTCCCAAGTCTCCTTTTTCCTTTTTTTGGGGGGATGGGACTTTAACTTATTGAAGCATCATTTTTGAGCTTCCTAAACAGTGTCTTGAAAATGGATTTCACTCCTCCGTTCTCCACAGAGTGAAAGTTCTCTGAAGGCCAGGGGTTTTTCGTATTAGGTCTTTGTCAATATTGCTCTTATAGCTACAGATCCAAGCTCATTGTCTCAGACAGAAGGAGAAACTGTAAAAATCTTTGCTATTCTGAATTGCATAAAAAAAAAAAACAACAACCCAGAATCACTGTATGAGCCATCGTAGGCCCTGGATAAACCACACGCTTGATTACGAAGAAGCCGAGACCAAGTTTTAGTTGCTAACTCATTTTTGCTAGTTTTTGAGGAAATCCCAGACACTCAGCAAGCGAGAATCCTTCAGCCAGGTGTCCTGGCTCATCAGACAATGCAAAAACGCATGTCAGCTGCCAGTTGCCAGATGCCAGCTGCTTGGCAGAAGGAGAAGACCTGAATCCTGGGAGATGGAGCCAGAGTCCTCAGACTACTCTTTAGAGAGATGGGAATCGGCCCCATCCTTCATGCAGACGGACTGTGCTCAGAGAGCTTAGTAGGTGCGATCTACATTGCTCTCCCTCTGGGGCCTCCTGTCCAAGGTGTGGCTAAGAGGCTGGGGTTTACGTCACTCCTGCCTGATAAA